ATATGGGGGGAGACAGAACACTCTGCCGAGCTTCCAGATATGATTTGTTTGATTAATTGATTGATGATGGGGAGTTGGGGTTTGGGGCTTTCAGAATTTTTGCTCACTCTATTGATGTTTGATTGAGCTTTTAGTAATATTCACAGTCTTTTAGACATTCGAACTTCAGCATACTCCTTATTGAGTGAGGGAGAGAGCTGAAACACGAGGGCACAAAGCGAGTCAAAAGATTGAGCGAGCAATCCTAGTACTTGTATTGCGTGAGTTGGCATACGCTAAAGTGTTTGTAGCATGTGTAAGGCCAACTTCTATAGGCATTAAATTGTACGGTGGAGTAATTATAGTGATTGGTTGGGCTTGAAGCCCGTAATCTTGCGTGTGTCACTTGTATTTACTTGAAAACTTCCGCTCATGTTTGAGTGACGTGTTCGCACAACCCCGAACTGTATCTTCTGCATTCACCTAGTGTGTGCCCATTTGTCGTAACTTAATTCTTTGAGCTTTGTTTGCAGTTGAAAATCGATTATATCTGATTATATGACCGTATGGACGAGGCAGTAGGTGACGGGGTGGCTGATCCTGTTAATCACACACGTGTCCATGATAAAGAGAATGAACTCTCTCGAAGGCCCAGTAGCTCTAGCATGCTTCAATCGACTGACATGATCATGCCTGATGCAGATGATTATCGCAATAACTCAAAACACCAAAAGTCAGGTACTTCGGATGCAAAAAACCAAGACAGGATTGTTTCATCCGAACATGCCAGCGCAAGTCCTCGTTGTCTGGATAATGCTGGGGTCATGGTTGAGGAACTAACTCTGAGAAATTATGATGGTGAGAAAATGACTGTAGTGGGTGCTTCTAACAATAGAGAGCTTATGTCGACTAGGCAGAACCATTGGAAGAATTTGTACCAACAAGCTGGCAGATCAGGATTTAGTAATCCTGACGAACAAGCTGGCCAGGAAGGAAAAGAACAGGCAGATTCAGGTGAGCGGGTGGATGACACCAATGCTTACTTCACTGAGTTACTGAATGAACTTCAGTCGACACAAAATTACGGTAATAATTCTAGCGGTGAAAATGTTTTGAGCAATGAGGATAAAGGTGCCTCAGGCGAAATTCCGCACCCTTCTGGAAGCATCCGGACAAAAATTATATCTAAATCTGGGTTTTCTGAGTTTTTCGTGAAGAGTTCGTTGAGAGATAAAGGGGTACTACATAGAAGCCAATCTGGCAGAGGATCTGTTACCGAGTCAGATTTGAAAAATTCTGCCGCGCCATCAAATTTCACCGCGAAGAAGCCTCTTACGGATGGTGTTGCTAACCCATTGGACACTACTAGTTCTAGAAGTATCTGTGATGGCGTTAATTTAAGGGAATGGCTGGAAGCAGATGGAACAAAGGTCGATAAAGTTGAGAAGATGCGTATATTCAGGCAGGTTCTCAACCTTGTGGATATTTCACATTCTCATGGAGTTCCCCTTCAGGACCTGAGGCCTTCCTGCTTCAAGGTGTCGGGGTCACACCAGGTCATGCATTTAGGATCTTCTGTTCATGAGGGGACTAAAATAAAATGTAGAGATCAAGATATCCATCGTAATGGAAAGAGGCTAATGCATCATGACGACATCCCCTTGGACAGTCACGCTGTGAAGAAGCATAAGTCAGGTGAAAATACGAAGTTTATTCAGAGGTGGAACCAGTTTCCATCGAGGCCTGCCAATAGAACTGCATCGTTAAATATTGGTGGTGTAGAAAGGGCCAGAGTTTGGGACCTTAACAGTAATTTAGATGAAGACAACAATCCAAGAGCTGAGGTTAAGACCCACAGAAAATTGTTAGACAATGCTGCACCTAATTCAGAGCAAGCATTACGTGGATCCACGAGTTTTATGTTGGAAGAGAAGTGGTATATGGGTCCTGAGACTTTCAATGAGAAAGGCTGCACGTTTGCGTCAAATATTTATTGCTTGGGGGTCCTTCTATTTGAGGTTTGTGAATGACTTGCATCTATCCTTTTACTGTGCCAAACTCCTAAAAGCACCTATTGAATGTGATAGTCAAAATTATTTAACCGGGATCTGTATTATCTGATTGTAATTTCATTTTGATGACAATTTTGTTATACTTGCGATCATCTTCTAGATTTATTAGAGCTTAGTTTCACTAAGATTATAGTCCTTGGTAAGGCAGCATAGTTTCTACTTTCTACAAAGTAGGAACCTAGAATAAACTCTAGACTCCGGCGAATCAACTGTTCTTTAGTAGGAATTAGCACTGGTGCTATAATTTTCAAACTGCTGTTAGCCTTTCCAGGTTTATGTTTATATGTCTCCAAGTAATTGCTTTGAATTGAGAGACAATCATTGTCTTCTCAGTTAGCAATTGTAACTGACGGTCTGCCTTTTTTACCCAATATGGATTGTACTTCCAGTTACTTGCCCCATTGGTTTCCGGAAGATCTCATGTTGCTGCAATGAATGATTTACGCCATAGGATTCTTCCACCTAGGTTTATTTTGGAGAATCCCAAGGAAGCTGGATTTTGTCTTTGGTTACTTCATCCCGAGCCTTCTTTACGCCCATCCACCAGGTAATTTCACGATCTCTAATTAGGGATTTATAGTTCATATTCTACTATCTGCAATTTTCACCTTCTTTTAGTTTCATTAGTTGCTCGTAAACTAAACAAGCAGTCAACAGCTATTGAGATGATCAGATCATGACCTGTTATGAAGAGTACCTGTCAACGTCCACCATACATGTAATGCAGTTACTTAAGAAAAGGCAAAAGTTGAAGAAACGAAAAGAAAGAACCGCACTAGATGTCTAGATGCCTAGATAAATAGAAATGTTATGGATGCATGTAATATGCTGTAGTAAACTAATGCCATAACTCACAGTTCATCGTGATGGTGTTAGTATTGATAAATTATCATGTAAATTTAATGGACTAGTTAGAAGTTAGAACGATACTTCACAGGCATTTAAGATTTTCTTGCTGCTGCTGATGGTATGTGAATGAGGCTCCTGAAATTTGACTGCCCCTATTTTATTTTGATTTGGTCTCCATTGCATGTGGGTTTAAGGCTTTAAGAAACTGCTGACTTTAATAATGCTGAACAACAGTGAAATTTTGCAATCTGAATTTATGAATGAATCTGAAGAATTGAACGGAAATGAGATACTGTCATCCATTGATGAAGAAGAAGAGGAATCCGAATTGTTGTCACATTTTCTTTTATCATTGAATGAGCAAAAACAAAAGGACACATCCAGTTTAGTGGAACAATTCCAGTGCATAGAAGCTGATATTCAAGAGATTGAGAAACGGCGGCTCAAGAAATCGGGTGGTCCATCTTCTAGTGGAGGGAATGCAAGTTTAGATGCATCCTCAAAGATAGCCTCTGCAAATGGTACAGAAATGATGCGTAATATCAAGCAACTAGAAGATGCTTACTTTTCTATGAGACCCAACATTCAGCTCTCGGACAGCAATGTAGCCACACGGAGGGATCGAGAGCTTTTCAGAAGTCATGAAAATTGGTGCACTGTAGCAAATGAAGACAATACCACAGACCATTTAGGGGGCTTTTATGATGGGCTATGCAAATATGCTCGCTATAACAAATTCAAGGTACGAGGGGTGATAAGGAATGGGGAATTTAACAGCATTGCAAATGTTATTTGCTCCTTGAGTTTTGACCGGGATGAAGAGTATTTAGCTGCAGGAGGGGTATCGAAGAAGATCAAGATTTTCGAATGGCGAGGTCTGTACGATGACTCTGTTGGCATTCATTATCCAGCTGTAGAGATGTCGAATAGGTCAAAGCTGAGCTGCGTTTGCTGGAATAGCTATATCAGAAATTATCTTGCATCGACGGATTATGATGGCATAGTCAAGGTATGTATTTCCTTGCTTCTTGTTCTGTCTGTCTAATGAAAATTACAGTCATAGGTATGTTGGTAGAGTTGATTTGAACTATCTCAAATGTCAGGTTATGTCTTGTTTGTGCAATGTACTTGATTTAGAACCCTAAGGAGATGCTTGGATATAAAATATTTTTATTTTGTTTGGATTTTTTGGTTTGGTATGGTTAATTTTGAAAAAAATGGTATGGTTAGTTGTCGGTGGGATTTTGAGTTTATATTAAAATAACATTTAAAATAAATTAAAATTGATTTGATGGAAAAGTAGGAGAGAGGTGATGTAGAGTGATGGTTAGTTAAAATTATGTGAATGGATGAATACATTATAGTGAATTAAAGTTTGATGTAATGTGTAAGAATGATTGAATGGTATTATTTAATCATATCGATAATTGAGGATAGTGGGGTTGAGTTAAAGTCGAATTAGATTTTTGATATAAAAAAGTGATTGGAATTATTTGGGAAAATTTGAATCCAAGCGTCTGCTAAATCTTTAAAACTGCTGAGTAACCAAAGTAAAAAATCCGTGAACAAGAAGGGAAAGGAAGATTGAAAGGAAGTTTTGTCCCCTGATTTAGTTTTTTAAGAATAACAGTTTTCTCTTTTTTGAATTTTTTCTATCAAGATTATAAGCTGATATTACCTAAATGTCCTTGATATTTCCGTAATGGTAGGGGGCCGATAACCCATTGGTTCGTACATGACTAGTTGTCGCACTCATATTTCTGGGTATTGTACTACTGTTGTAGTCCGTGGCCCTAAGTTTAAGCTCTATTCCTTTGTAATATCGATTGATATTGCCTACGTCTCTAGGCACCACTAACCTCAATGCCAAACTCACTTTAAACTCATCAACCAAATATAACTAGGGTTAACAAATTTGGAATTCCTTCTAAGATGTGAGAGAAGGTTTTATGTAATATCTTTTTTTTTTATTGTAAAATTATTAAATCTTATGAAATAATAAAACCAAAAAAATATATTATTTTTATCAACTTATCTTCTTCTAAAATGTTATCTTCTCTTTCTGTCATCTCTACTGCTACCGCCACTATTTCTACTATTATGGACACCAACTTACGGACTTTTTTTAGTTATGGGATGCCTCAACTGGTGAAGGGTTTCTTCAATTCGCCGAGCATAGCCAAAGGGCTTGGTCAGTTGATTTCTCTCGTGTAGATCCTAGGAAGCTAGCCAGTGGCAGTGATGATCGTTTGGTGAAAATTTGGGGCATCAATGATGTAAGGCATCGCCATTGCCAATTTACTTTTACCAAAAAGCTTTCAAGTTTTCCATCTCTCCTGGTTTATCTTTTTTCTCAATATTTGTTGTGTTTTTATCCCTAACTTGTATATAAATATCATCTATCCGCTCTACATCATATTTTTATCATTTTATTGTAAAAACCATCCTTGATTGG